AAGTTCGTCGAAGCTCGGCTATAACGGCACAACAAAATTCGCGGAGCTTCTCGAAAACCGGTTAAACAAGACCGGAGAAGAGTTTCGTTTCGATAGCTTTGTTGGTGGACTTAAAAAGAGAGAGAGAGAGAGAGAGAGAAAGAGAAGAGAATTCTGTAACCAGTCTGCGGTTGCGAACGGTCTCGAACCGCGCGCTACTTCATCAAAGCTAAACAAACTCTACGGAAAACCGTTCCCCGAAAAGCAGTTATAGTGTTCGCCTCGGATGTCGGTTAAACCGTTCGGATAATGGAGGAGCTACCATATAAGACAAATATTTGGTCTTTCGGGCACCCCCAGCGCCTCCGTTGGAAATAGAATCGGGAAATCGTGGAAGCACTTAGCTGCAAAGAAGTTTTAATTACCGGTACACGTAGGTGGCCGCTAGAAATACACAGAAGCTATTTAAACTGTTTCGCCGGAAATAGACGGTCGCGCTCGCGCTCGCGCCGAGGAGAAAGATAAAGAAAGCTGCGAGAGGGAAAAAATCAAAAAGAGAAGAAGAGGAACGAGAAGAAAATATAACAGAGACGGCCATCGACGCTGGAACGCTCGCTATGACGGCCGATGGTATCAAGGAGAGTATGCGAATAATACGCGAAGCCAAAAATAAAAGGAGGAAAGAAAAAGGAAATGTGCGACGACCAAGAATCTCTACAAGCGGCAAATCCACTGGAAAAGAAGCGTACGATTCGTTGGAGATCGTCGGAGAACGTCTGGAGAGAGTCTTAGGGGAAAATAAAGAATGTCGAATTTGCATTCGAACGTGCCGGAAACGGCTGAATTAATTCGTCGACGTAATTCGGTTCGAGATCATTGCCGAACTTTCGGAGATTTCTAATTCATTTTACAATTGTTAAATTGTTTCGCGTAAGCTCTTTGCACTCGGAGATTTCTGCTGTCATTTTTCGTTCGGAGCGACGGTTTTCCTAGGAAAATTGCCGGACAAACTTTTCCCCCGAAGAATCGATCGCTTGCATTTAATGACAGAGCTCGGATTCTTTTTGCGAAAGCAGAAGTTCGGAGCGAATAAAACGGCGTATCAAGTCGGAATTAGAATCGAGATATCGTCGGGTTTTATTGACGTTTCCTGGCGCGATGCATTCTGCACGGCGGCGTTTGCTTGAACCCATAAAATCCGCAGACTATTTGTCACGGTACCAATTCGCCCCAGGCCGCACATTTCTTAGCGGCAACTGTGCGAGACACAGTCGCTTTACCGTTAACAATTTGTTCCTGGAAGCGGATATTATACCGGGTGTGCCGATAGCAATGCAATATTTCATTCGATCACCGCAGAAAGCGTTTCAACGCTGAGTTCGTAATATTCGTATATTCGTGACACGTAATCGTCATAACTTTCTGAAATACGAATCGCACAACAACTTAGATTAGACCCTCTACTTTCATCGTACGTAACTCATTTTATTGCCATTTTAATTCTTCACAATGTAGCAATTGAAAAAGCGAAGACTCGAAATGACGCTACAAATTGTACAGGCTGTATCGATAAGCGATTTTCAACGACCTGTAAAAACATCGAAAAATTTTTTCCACGACTGCGCATACGATCNAATGGAGGAGCTACCATATAAGACAAATATTTGGTCTTTCGGGCACCCCCAGCGCCTCCGTTGGAAATAGAATCGGGAAATCGTGGAAGCACTTAGCTGCAAAGAAGTTTTAATTACCGGTACACGTAGGTGGCCGCTAGAAATACACAGAAGCTATTTAAACTGTTTCGCCGGAAATAGACGGTCGCGCTCGCGCTCGCGCCGAGGAGAAAGATAAAGAAAGCTGCGAGAGGGAAAAAATCAAAAAGAGAAGAAGAGGAACGAGAAGAAAATATAACAGAGACGGCCATCGACGCTGGAACGCTCGCTATGACGGCCGATGGTATCAAGGAGAGTATGCGAATAATACGCGAAGCCAAAAATAAAAGGAGGAAAGAAAAAGGAAATGTGCGACGACCAAGAATCTCTACAAGCGGCAAATCCACTGGAAAAGAAGCGTACGATTCGTTGGAGATCGTCGGAGAACGTCTGGAGAGAGTCTTAGGGGAAAATAAAGAATGTCGAATTTGCATTCGAACGTGCCGGAAACGGCTGAATTAATTCGTCGACGTAATTCGGTTCGAGATCATTGCCGAACTTTCGGAGATTTCTAATTCATTTTACAATTGTTAAATTGTTTCGCGTAAGCTCTTTGCACTCGGAGATTTCTGCTGTCATTTTTCGTTCGGAGCGACGGTTTTCCTAGGAAAATTGCCGGACAAACTTTTCCCCCGAAGAATCGATCGCTTGCATTTAATGACAGAGCTCGGATTCTTTTTGCGAAAGCAGAAGTTCGGAGCGAATAAAACGGCGTATCAAGTCGGAATTAGAATCGAGATATCGTCGGGTTTTATTGACGTTTCCTGGCGCGATGCATTCTGCACGGCGGCGTTTGCTTGAACCCATAAAATCCGCAGACTATTTGTCACGGTACCAATTCGCCCCAGGCCGCACATTTCTTAGCGGCAACTGTGCGAGACACAGTCGCTTTACCGTTAACAATTTGTTCCTGGAAGCGGATATTATACCGGGTGTGCCGATAGCAATGCAATATTTCATTCGATCACCGCAGAAAGCGTTTCAACGCTGAGTTCGTAATATTCGTATATTCGTGACACGTAATCGTCATAACTTTCTGAAATACGAATCGCACAACAACTTAGATTAGACCCTCTACTTTCATCGTACGTAACTCATTTTATTGCCATTTTAATTCTTCACAATGTAGCAATTGAAAAAGCGAAGACTCGAAATGACGCTACAAATTGTACAGGCTGTATCGATAAGCGATTTTCAACGACCTGTAAAAACATCGAAAAATTTTTTCCACGACTGCGCATACGATCGATTTAAAGATCGAAGCTTCCTCTTTCCAACGACACCTTAAATCTTGCTCTACGATTTTTTTTAGCCATCTTATGAGGCATAAACGAAGACCAAGTTCGGCGCTCATGGTATGTCACAAAGACGACGGTACAGCTTTCGTTCAAAGCTTGATAAAACGCCCCCAAAAAATCGCACGTCGAGTTTCTCGAGCTCGTTGCAAAGAGGAAGGTTCGAACTTTAAATCCATGGTAGATTGATCCCCGAAAAAAATTTTTCGACGATTCTACAGGGGTTTGAAATGGCGGTAGATTCCTGTACACCGTTTTCCTTGTTCCAAGCTGGATCAAATCTTTGCACGCGATAAACCGATCTCTGACGGTGTTTTAATCGTGTCACGGGTATTTTCCTGCTTCCTGACGTAATTCTGACATCTCTTTGACGAAGCCTAACGCTAAGATAATCCCGCGTTATGACGTGCGTGTGTGCACAAAGTCTGAAGAGCTCGGATAATCCCTTGTCTCTCTGTCGCGCTAGACTCCAGCTCTCTGCCGGAGCATTACAGGCGAACCCTTGATTTCCACCTGAACTGAAAACCGTAACTTGTAACCGACAAAATCACGGCTGACTCGCGAATCTACGGAAAAGACTCTACGCGTTACGGATCTGCGAGAAAAATCACGCGAGGCAATTTTCACGCCGTAATCGACGCGAGAGATACTTCCGTTTCGCCGGTAATTTGGATCGACGTGCCGTATTCTCGTGCGAAAAATCACGGCGAGGTCCAAGCGAATCAGTGCCGCGCGACTTCCACGGGGGAATTACGAAGCTGTTCCGTTTTAGCATCGGAGAAAGTTGAGCGCGGGATTTCGACGGGGAATTCCCGGGAGGACCGGAAGCCGGTTTTTCTTTTCCAAAAATGTCCATCCCGAGAAAACCGTTCCCGCCGCGCCGTGAAACCTGGCAGCAGAACCGCCGAAAAGTTCGGTCGAGTGCAAAGAGCCGGGGTACGGCGAAATGGGCCGTCGAACAAAGCGAGTCTATCTGTTCGGTCTCGCCGCGTTCAACGGCTCGGTTGATACTTATCCGGTCGCGTGGCCCCGCGATTGCGCCATCTTCTTGAAATAGAGCACGCGGCCGACATTTCGGCCGGGCTTTCGTTCAACCCCTAAATCGTGACGCTTCCTCGGGAGATCGCGCACGCCGGACGGCGGAAAGACTTCGTACAGCTTCCACGCGAGTTATCGATCGGTCGAAGTCCGATAACTTCGCGAAAACGAAACGAGAATCGCGCGACGATAGAACTAGAGCTTCGCAATTTGTCGATCGCCTATCTCTTGATTTCGCATGACTCGGCGACCGGGAAAGAAACCGAGCGCACGAGTTCGTTCGAATACGAATCTCTTTTCCGTCCCTACGAGACAGTTTCTGTTCACTGAATTCCTGATCTTGGCTTTCCTCGCTACATTGTCTCGGCTGCTATCCTGCGTGTTTCAGCTGCTATCTTGTTTCAGTCGTTACCCTGTGTCTCAGTTGTTACCTCGCTCCAGTTGCTAGCTCGCTGATCAAATACAAAATTACAAAGGAATTAGACGAGTTTAAGGACACCGACGCGTCGTTCTCAACTTGCTACGATCGTTAAAAAAAGAAAAGACTAGTAGTCTAACTGATGTTTCTGGGACAATTTTGATTTCGCATAAAGATCAAATCCGGATATAACATTTCCTCCCGGGCATCGCGATTTAGGGGCATCACGATTTTTTAATAAAATCAGCTCCGCGAAGAAACGCTTCCATAGTTGGAGATCACCGCCGTACGCGTTGGTAGTTGCAAGCAGGGAAAACGAGAAGAGATAAAGAGAGACGAAGATAGAGAGTGAGAGAGAGAGAGTGAAAAAGTGAAAGAGAGAGAGTGTGTGTGAGAGAGAGAGAGAAGGAAACGCGGAATGGATGCAAGTAAAGCGTAATAATAAACGGAGAAAATGGCGGCTGGGCCGAGCCGCGGGAAAACAGTGTATAATACGAAAGAGTATATAGTAGCAGTATGTAGAGTAGAAAAGCATGCGGCGTGTGTTTGCAGACTTACTCCGGGTATTTCACGTTGGGTAGAGCCTTCAGGAAGCAACGCTGCCGCAGGATACCCTCCCACAGTTGAACACCGACAATACCGAATATGAAGAAGACGAAGAAACACAGTAAGAGAACGTTGCCAAGCATGGGCAGAGTGTCCAGCAGCAGCATCACCAGTATCCTCATACCTGAAATCAGACACACGGTTGCTCTGAGAACAATTTATACAGGAATGATTTAGAAATTAAAAAATTTATCAAATTTAAAATATTTCCAATAGAAACATCCAATGGACTATAATTTAACGAGAAGGTAAACATCTTAAAACGCTTGTAAAATAGTTTCAACAGAAATTTCACGTGGTAACGCACAGATTCTTCGTAGAACTTTAGAAGTTAATTAATCTTAAACAGAAAAAAATCTCAGGAAACAGAAAAAGATCTCTGCGCAGGCGAAGAATCTCGGAAAGCGAAGCGAAGAAAGCTGTCTTTGTTCCACGAGCGACCTTAATAGATCGAGAACAATGAATCGCACTTTCGACCGCGTTCCGACTCGCGTTTTCTTCCGCGCATTTTTGTTGCCATAAACGCGCGTCTAAGATCCACGGTCGAAAGATCAGTCTCTATAACCGGCGCCGGCCTATCCGTGGCTCGCGGAACTTCCGCCGCGTCGCCTTTACCCGAGCAAAGCTAAATTCATCTTCCGGTTACGTCGCCGAGGTGACATTATCCTTCCCCCTAGCGACGTAAATAGCAAAACCCTTTATTTATCTGGTTCCTAGCGGGGGGGACAGCGGCATTGCGGCAGACTGAAGATACTTTTCGGATGAGAGACTCTGGCCGGCATGCGACAGTGACGGATTTTCGGCGAGCAAACGGAAGCTTCTCGTTGCTCGCCGGTGTTTGTTGCCGCGCGCGACGTAACTTCGCGGCCCGTCCATTTTCGCGGGTTTTAAGCCCGCCGTGTTCGACTTGCTTTGCAAAACGGTTATGCAACGGACCGAGGAAATAGACTTATTCAGCTGTGCCGCGAGTATCCTGCATTAGTCACGTTCAATGATCGACGAACGACGGCGACGACGCCGGTAAATCGTTTCGAATAGCATCGTCTCTAAACACGAATTAATAAACGCCGCGCGTCGAAGTTCGGCCAATTTTATTTCAAATAATAAACAGCAAATTGCGAACGACAAGTTACAATATTTCGTTCGCAAGCGATAATTCGTTTGGTTTATTTCACTGGAAAATCGTGTAAATAATTCCAACGAATGATACACTTGTTATTTCTTCATCGCAGACAAGATCTTTTATTTGGATTTTCGGGAAAGACGGAAAGTATAGCTTAATCGTTCGATTAATGCGTTAATTTCGTGCACCCGTCGCAACAATTTATATTCGTTCGGTGTGTTATCATTTATTTACGAACTGCTCCGAACTACGCGCGCCCGCCGCACCATTATTTGCTTACGTTACCGGTCTCCGGCGACTCCTTGATCTCGGATCGAAGCTAAAAACTGGCCGGTTATCAGCGAAATGGTAACAAGTGTGCGAATTGATTTCCAATCCGTGGGCTTCTCGCACACAGACGGAACTTCCGCGTTAAAAGGTTAGATTGAACAACGGTCGCTAACAAGGAAACTTTGGTGACCTAAACGGTCCGAGCTTTTTTTCCCCAGGCTTGTTCGCAGGGGACCCCGATAGAAATATCCGGGAATTTTTTGTTTACCAATTTTTTCGGCCTCCGGGATGGAAATTGTTGCGGAAGGTTGTTACTCGTTTCCACCCTGTTTCCGTTTGTTCATGGGAAATGCCCGATGCAGAAGTGTTTATTAAAGAAATTCTCGACGCCGCGCGAATTTTCTAACGACCATAATACGGCATCCAGCTCGATCATCCGGTGTTCGTCCATTAAAAATCCCTCCATAGAAATGTTCCGGCGACGCGTCGGAAATTACGATAGAAGGAGAAAGCATTTCGACAGGTTTGTTATTATGGGATGTGAACTGCACAGGCATAAGTGCATCTATAAGCGACGTATCGCTAAGAATAGTACGGCTCGAAGGCTGTTGATTCGCGATTTAGAAGGAAAGTTGAAACTATCCAAAAACTTCTGCACAAGAATTGTAGCTCGACAGTTGACGAACCGCGGCTGAAAATAGCCTAAGCTTATAAGCGCCACGTACATTCCTTCGATTGTTCATTTTCATGATTTAGAGGGCCTCTACACGCTATTCTTCCCCGCGCTATATGACGCGCGACCGTAAAATTCATGAATTTAATGACGACGCCAAGAGAGAACGCGTTTGCAACGTGTGCAAATTGTGGGAAACGTGCGAGAAAATGTCGGCATCGGTAAATATAAATACAGGAAATTCTTCGTAATTCGCGCACGGATTGTGCACAAAAATGGACAATTGGGGAGAATTTACTTTATGCCGATTCTAATTCCAAGATTCCATAAATGACTCGTTACTACTTTGTCTCATATTAACTGTTACAGCTTCCCGCGTGCTGTCTACAAACAATTTTTTCGACTAGAATGAATTATACACGGAAAAAGTAGAGACTTCAGGCTTTAAAATGAGTTTAGTTTCGTTGCTCTACGATTTTTGTTCACGAAGTTACAGTATTTTGAATATCGTCGATGTCTCGAAGCTTAGAAATTTCGTGTAAAGTCTACAACGAGGTTTCTCATCCACCGTGTCGCGAATAAATTTTGTTCAAGAAATCGATGGACGGCTTCCGAAAGCAGACACTTCGGGCTTTAAAATGAGCTGAGTTTCATCGTCGTACGATTTTTTTGCACAGAGTTATAGCTGCTCGAATATCATCAATTTTTTGAATATTCGAGGTTTTGTGTAAAATCTAGAACGAGGTTTCCCATCCGTCATATAATAAATAAATTTTTTTAGAAGAAACTGACTAATATCTCTCGAAAGTAGACACTTCGGGCTTTAAAATGAGCCAAGTTTCATCGTCGTACGATTTTTCTGCACAAAGTTATAGCTGTTCGAATATCATCAATTTTTTGAAAATTCGAAATTTTATGTAAAATCTAGAACGAGGTTTCTCATCCGTCATATCATAAATCAATTTTTTTAGAAAACACTGATCAACATCTTCCGAAAGTAGACACTTCGGGCTTTAAAATGAGCCCAGTTTCATCGTTGTATAATTTTTTTGCACAAAGTTATAGCCGTTTGAATATCAACAATATTTTCGAGAATTTAAAACTTCGACAAAAATATAGTCGCGACTATAAGGCTCGAATAATCGTATCTCCTGTTCCAAAATCGAGCGCGAATTAGGGAGAATTTACTGCAACTTTTCAACTCGATGTTCGTCGTAAGCGAATGAAACGGTTCTCCCGCGATTCGGCGAAGCAAGTCGATTACTCTCGAGACAAACCACGCGCCGCGGCGTAGCCTGTAGCCTGATTTCACGTTAATGAACGAGACAGAACGTCGTCGGCGGTAATGATATCGCCTGGAAAGTCACACGCGAACGGATTATCTAACTGTGCCGGCGCACGGAAAGAAATGTGTACGCTCGTTTCAGAACAGATCGAGATCGCCGTCGTTACTCAGCCGCGTAAAAGCGCCGATAAAATTCGCGGTGCACGCGCGCATCGCGAAATCGATGCCCGCGTAACTTTTTCCTCATGCGATCAGGGGGAAGTGTCGACAATTTTTTGCACGCCCCCGTTGCTTCGTTCGTACTCACTCGGAATTCTGTTGATGGCGCGCAGGGGTCTTAGAACTCTTATTGTTCGTATCGCCGACAGATTCATGTTCTCCACGTTCAAGCAGTACTCCAGGGCGCTGCAACAAAATGAAAACGCGCGGATTAACTTCTTCGTCCACTTCATCAATTATCTCTTCTCTCAATTATCTCGGTTCTCTTATCGTTAATCATCGTCGCTTGAAACATCGATCTCGTATGTTCAGACTCCACTCCAAATTGCCCTAAGTAGAATCACTATAACCGCCATCTGTGACGCAGAAAATATATTCTTCAAAGGTTCCTGAAGAATTCTACAAAGTTTGTAACCAATACGTCGATTAGTTTTGTTTATGAAAACATTTTTACATAAAACGGCGCGTGGAAAACCGAAAATACGTCTCTTCTCGGAAAGGATTAATTTCATCTTCTGTAGAATCTTTGGAAAATTTTTTTCACGGTTGAATCTACCGCGAATTCGAAGATCGAACCTTCCTCTTTGCAACGAGCTCGAAAAACTTCATGTACGATTTTTTGGGAGCGTTTTATCAAGCTTTGAACGTCGTCGTCGCGATATACACCACAAGCGGCAAACTTGGTCGTCATTTATGGCTCGTAAGGCGGCTAAAAGAAATCGTAGGTCAAGATTTAAGGTGTCGTTGGAAAGAGGAAGCTTCGATCTTTAAATCGATCGTATGCGCGGTCGCGAGAAAAATTTTCCAATGTTTTTACAGGTCGTTGAACATTGCTTATTAATTCGGTCTACGGTATCTCGATTTCCGCGACTCCGCTGATCTCGTTGCAACGAATACGCGAAATTCGACAACTGTGTTGCAGCGAGACCGTGTTGCAGAGTCGTCGTGTTACACAAGACTCGCCTGTATTTAGAGTTTTGCGTGCGGAATTGAATTGGAGTCTATTTAACGACGCAACTACCAACTCGATTTAACGGTCCTGCCGAAGTCCCATTGCATAAGTGGTTCTACATAACCGTAATGCAGTTAAATGCGGCGCAAAGCGAACGATAAATCCAATTTGTCGAACCTTTTTAAAACGGATGCACTTTTCCAAATGAAAAATTCGTCTCGACGCTTTAACTTCGCGAAAACGCGTTCGCACCGAAATATCTGTCGCCTGAATAGCGTTGTCATTTATCGCTGAGGAAAAGTGTCCGCGTTCGGAGAACATTTATTCTTACTGTACCAGTGCATTCTGGACGTTCGTGAAACAGTGCGCGATAACACGGCTCTTCTAGATAAACATCCGTAGTCTAGTTATACTGCCGGTTTAATTAACTACTCGGTTTGCAATAACGAATCAGAGCCATAGGGATTATTTCAATCTAAATTTAATAGACAGCAGTGTTATCCGTTTCGCGGCAAGCATAATATTATCTCATTGTTATTAATAGTTAATCCTCGCATATTATTCGCCTCCATTATAGCGTTCCGCGGATTTTATGCTGTTTCAAGCACCGGGGCGGTTTTCGTTTCACCGCTTTCTCGGTTTTAGTCGATCGTCTTTTATTCTCGCTCGTTAACAAAGCTATAACAACAACGGACGACCAAAGAATGGAAATTATCGCATCGAAGCACCGGTAAAAATGTTTATTTTCTCACTTAATAAAATATATACTAATTGATAATAATCGAATCGCGTATTTGTCCGGTAAACCGAGCAGAAAATTACGCGAGCAAATCCGGAAGCATCTGTTTGCGAAGCCGCAACGACCGTGTTGGCAGATAAAGTAAATGTCCTTTTATAGCTTGTAGCTGCTGACGTAAAATTACGTCATAAGGCAGCAAGAGATCGAGCGAGCGGGAACAAGAGAAAGAGAGAGAGAGAGAGAGAGAGAGTGGGGAGAGAAGAAAGCAGGACGAATTAAAAAGATCCCTTATTCTCCTTTCGAACACGCTGATATTTTCCAAAAGAAATTCCTTTAATTCGTATCCTCGGATTAGCGACAAAAGCCCCGGCAGCTTTCGAGTTGCTTTTCAAGCTCTTCTCGTTTTACGATTTTCTGGGAACCGGAGAAATTGTGAACCGCGGTGGCATTAAGGCGTCGAATAAAATATGAATCTGGATGTTTGAATGAACGTTCCGCGGCCTCGCCATGAGCCCTGGCTATAATTAATTACAGGTGTTATATGTTCCGTGTTTGTCTTGCAATTAGTGCTGCGCGAAATGCGACGATTGTTTCGGAGTTAGGTGCTCGGGTAGTGATTCACCGATGCTTGGGCTATGATTTAGTAATAGTCGGGCAATAATTCGTTAATACTTGGGGGAACAATGCCAGCGAGACAATAATACAATTGAGGTAATAATTCAATGCAGAAAATAATTCAATCCGGAGACTAATCTAAGCCTGAGATCGGATAATAGATCGCCGTGATAGTTTGGCAATTGTTTAGTGAAGTCGAACAATTCGATAATATGTACTCGAAGAACGATTCGAAACGCTGTTTGGACAATAATTAATTTTGCCAAGGCTCTCCGATTCGATTAATCTGTGTCGTCGCCGCGCAATCGTGCATTACTATAAATTTGCCGCAAGAATCTCGTCCGACGATTCGCCCGTGAAGATCCCCTAGACGGGGTAGTTTACCAAACGAACCGGAAACTGAAAGCCAAGATTTAGCCATAGCGATTCCTTCGTTGCAGACCCTTCCTTGCATCTCATAGATATTAACGACAATCTGCTTGCCGTACCGATATCGAAAAATTGATTCTGCTGACTGGTCAAAGAATTCGGTCACCCGTGAACGAAGGGTGCACCGTGTTAACTTTTAGTTATTCGCTTTGAGAATGTTTGCCGTTCGACGAATCGTCGCTACAGTCCGTCGCAAAAGTCCTGGATAAATTTCCTGGAATTCGTTTAACGAATGTATTCAATCTGCAAAGAACATTGTTATCGTTGTATTTGCTAACAAGAAAACACGGATAACAGAGGAAATACAATGGAAACGTTTATTCAGCATCATCGTTATTCAACGTATTCTTTTTAGAACGATAAAGACACTCACCCGGCAGCCACGATAAAAAAGTCGAGCCTGTTCCAGGAGTCGGCGAGGTAGGTGCCCTTGCCGTATATGCCCATCGCGACCATTTTGATGGTCATCTCGAGGGCGAAGAAGGCGAAGATGATGTCGTCGAACATCTGGAAGCATCGTCCGCGGACGGAGAAGGGCTGATTAGGCGAAAGGGCGCTTAATTGAATCGGGCGCGGTTGATCAAGGACACTCGAGCACACGAGTTCCATTACTCATCGAACGCCAGATGTTGGTTTCTCGTGTTTGCCTCCGTTTTCTGCGGTGCCGTGCGAATTCTGAAGCGCGGGAGGGGAGGGGGGCAAGGTAAACAGCGCCATTAATCAATCCCCACTCGCCCCGATTGGCCGGACGAGCTGTTTTTGATTCTAATTCGCCCTCAGAGGCCGGCGCGCGTCGCGTTGCCTCGCGTCAACTTCCGGTCCGCGATCGTTTATCCCGGCCCTCGAAGGACGCGACTCCTCTTTCGCCAATAAACACGCGCTCTATGCCGAATCGAATGACAAAAGCTTTCGACCGTGCCGAGTACCGCGACGCGCGAGAGTGGAAACAAACGAAGCTCTTCCAATGCCACCGGTGAGAGTACGAATACCAAATTCACGACTTTTTGACCCTTCAGGAGGAGGCGACCCTATTCTATATCAACACCTTTTTTGATTTACTATAGTAACACCTTTTTTATCAGGAATTATACATCATTCTTCACGACACATAATTATGTTATTGGTCATTTTCATTATATACCTTCAATAGGTGCAGTCTTTGTTACTGGATTAACTTTAAATAAGCATCTACTAAACTTCCAATTTATTATAATATTCATTGGAGTTAATATAATAATAACCTACCGCTTCGTTCCCGTTACATACTAATTACAAATTTGCTCGATATTACCATTCCTCTTTCCTATATCTGTGAAACATTCCTTCCTGTACTTTGCCGCCTCGCTTTCTAACCATTCTTACCATCCTACCGATTTATTACCGATTCGCTTCTTTGCTACTTCGTCCAACGTCCCTTTGTTTTCCACGTAGTTTTCTAAGCATTTCGTTCTCGCTGCCGACTTCTTACCAATTTGCTCGGCATTCTTTCGTTCTTCCATGATTTCGTTCTCTTTTCTATCGCGACGTAGTAACAATTGCGTCGCACTCTCCGCTCGTCCTGTAGGTTAGTCCGCGCCGGACGCCCTCTGGCGGCGGAAGGACGACCGCGGGCCCCGCTAGCGCTCCCCCTGGGACGTCTTAGGAAATAATTACGGAGGGAAGTTGTCGTTATTGTGCCGCGCCACGACGATGTGACATAATCGTATTTCGGGCCTGTTTCTCGCATCCAAAACCTTTCGCCGACGCTTCCGAATTATGTGCATCGACGAGAACGCGTTCGCGATCCAACATCTGCCGACGAATCTAATAACTGGACCGCGGATTTCCACGCAACGTAAACATCGTCTGCAGCAATCGCGAGATGTACAGCAGCCGCTCCCGCCAGGTATTTAGGCTTTGATTCTAAGCACGTCGATCTGTTGAATATACATATGCGATGCGATCGTATTTGTAAATTCTTGAAACGCTTTCACGGTTCTGTATTTTATCTGACGAATGCACGAATTAACTATAATATTATTATATAATATTTACGCCACCTGTAAAACGAATCCACGCGATATCCGGCGGGAGACTGTCCGATAAATTCACGGTTTTCGTTTCCTTCGGCGCTTTGTTTTCGACGCGCTGTTTCCCCTGCGGATTTCTTGCTAATTTAACCTTTTAGGCACGGCTGAATTCTGCGCGAGGCTATTTCTCTGGACGCGGCAGAGTCTGATACTGTATATTCTGTCTGTATATACAGGGTGTCCCAAAGATGTCTTGCAATCCGAAAGTGGCGGGTTCCTCGGGCCATTCGAAGCAACTTTTTCCTTTACAAAAATTTGCTCCGTTAACGAGTTATCAACGAAAAACAGTGACCAATGAGAGGCGAGCTCGGGTGGCGCGAGGCAACCGAGTCAATGAGCGGAACTGGGCTTCGCGCGCTGGTTGACTGGGCCGCCTCGCATCGGCCGTACTCGATTCTTATTGGTCACTGTTTTTCGTTAATAACTCGTTAACGGTGCCTCGGAGAACATTTTCGTAAAGGAAGAAGTTGCTTCGAATGATCCGAGGAACCCGCCATTCTCGGATTGCGAGACATTTTTGGGACACCCTGTAGACTGTTGTAAATCGATGTGGAGACAAAAGAAGTGTGAAACAATGCGTATGAAGACGATTATTTGGTTCGAACGATGAGCGAGTGAGCTACCAGAGCAAGCCACTATAGTGGCGCGTCGTCCAGGGAGATGACATCCGCGAAAGCCACTATAGTGGCGTGTCGTTCTAAAAGATGATATCTGCGGAAGCCACTATAGTGGCGCGTCGTGCCTAAAAGGTTAATC